ACACTTAGAGAACTCATCCCACAGCCAGCCCGAGCTGTGAGAGCCTTTTATGACAGACCGTCGAGAGCAATTTCCAACAGGGAAAGAGCTCAAACTGATGAAGATCAGACCTTTTATGTCTGTAGGTATGAAAAGAAAAGGTAGACCCATTTGAGAAGATAACAGAGGCTCAGAGATAGCCACAAAAACTCTAACAGTATCACAAAGGTAAAGGTCCAACTACTATTCTTTCTTCTTCAGTGTTCCTCCTGTTTACTGTCTACAGGTTATGGGGTGAATCAGTGAGAGCTGTGGATAGAAGCATTTGCTCTATAACAAACAACACCAATTTAATAAAAATAAAAAAATTGCAAGGCACTCTGGCACGTTATAAAAGAGAGCAGTAAGCACTACAAATTTACAAAGTTAACTTCCCAGCAGACAGAATTTAACCTCCTTTAAAAATGTAAAAACACAAAACCACCAGCAAGAGAGACAGACATATTCCTTGCAAACTCATGTAATCAAGAAAGTGTATTTTTGCTGCAGTCCTTCACTCGTTTTTTCTGATATTTGTCTGCCAACGTTTCTCAGTTTTTTCTTTAACTCTATGATCTAAGCTCAGACTTCTTTATTTCATATAGATACTATGAACCACTGTTATCACAGTAAAGAGGATTAGCGGAAAGGAACATCAACAGCGATCACAACCTCATCAAAAGCCCACAACCTCAAGAAATAACAACATCATTAAAACGTCACTATCCTCACTGTAATTACACAGAGTTCTCAAGATCACATGCTTACCCAGATTATTGTGTGCTGGAGACATCGGGTTCGGCGATAAGTTGGGAGAACCTGAAAATCAAGACATTAAAATGATTAGTGGGGCATCTCCTCAAGGAGAAACACTCACAGAAAACCTTCAGTGCTGCCCGGGCTTGTTGGAGGGAATAACCCACTTCTCACACAAGTCTCGTTTTGTGACACCAGCAACTTCTCTGATGTTGATTACTCTTTATGTGAGCTTCCAAACGCTATTACTTACGGTATCAACTTGCTAAGCATCTTCATAGAGCATTCACTTCAGCTGAACCCATTAAATTTCAAAACTGATTTACTTTCACTCGTAGCTAGCAAAACTCCAGGTACCATCACGACAGCCCCAGACAAACCCAACGAGCTGGGCATTTAAGAGCTTTATTTTACATTGCTAGGCACAAACCACTTACAACAGTCAAAAACAGATCAAGAAATCTTACTCGTCTTGGGACAATGGAGTGAGATCTGACCAAACAACAGATAGTATTTTATCCCAAATCATTTCTATCTGGTCCACAAATTTTGCACGTATATTTAAAATATCCACACTTGGATGTCCAGGGCAATTTCCAGAGTCTCTGGATGCCACACGGATGCAGGCGGGTGGTTTTTACTTTTCCTCTCAAACTGAGTTTGGCTTGTTTCTTTAAAAGTTTGGGATTTTTTTTTTCTATAAAGAGGGAAGTCCATGAGATCTGAAGGGAGGGATATAGCATTTGAATGTAAATTGGGTACTTATAGCATCTTCCAGGCGAATCCTGTTCCAGTCCACTTTCCACAAAGCCATACGTACATTCCACACGTCAACCACATCACCAATAATTGCATGCACTAAAACCATTTGTGTCAATGGGCTTATGTTTGATGTAGACAAACCAACCCACAACACCCTCCCTCCATCTCTATAACCCCCATGAAAAACTGCAAATCAGTCATCCCTCTTTCAGAATCCCACGTAAGCTCTACGGCTGAAGACACACACAGAAACCAAGCTATTTGCCTGCAGTATTTGCATCAATTAGGTTCTGCATATTTATCTCCATTTAAGCGTCATGCATTTGCATATCCCTCTTGTGAAGCCTCAGCACTTCTAACCAAGGACACAATTTTGCTTTTCGAGCAGAGGTTTTATGAATTGGGAGTCTGATGTCGAAGTTCTTACTCACAAACAGTGACACCACTCAGATCAACAAGATGCCTTAAACTCCCCAAAAAGTCTGCCAAGTTACTGCCAGAAAGATGAGACCTGCATGTTTAATTTTAAAGTGTTGACAGAGGTCAGCACAAACACTAAGGCTGCTGATTCTAAACCTGATTACTTGTTTTCTTGGCAATGAGAGAGAACCCAGAGTTTCAACTTTCTTTGGGATATAGCCACTAAACCCATTTAAGAACAAATCTCCCAAGTGATCACTTTGGCTATAGTTACACTGGACATTTCAGTATGTAAAAAATAACAAAACGATCAGAAAAATGCCCCTGCAGAAAAATGCAAAATTTTCAGGCGAATACAGATGTGCAGATGCAAATACAAACTATCACCCTTAGATGTGTCTCCACTGTTTCAGGCTCCTGCTTAGAATGGATGTTGGGGAGAACAGGAACATGTTGTACCTTTCACCAGCAGCTCTAAACCACACAGCCCTGTGTTTTACATGAGATGTCAGGCTACATTTACACTCCTACAGGGATAAAATACCTCAAACCACCATCTGATCTTCAGTGCCCCAAAGAAAAACTTTAAAAGAGTCTCTGAGATGACCTAGAAAGCTGCAGCAAATGGCAAAAAATGACTTACCTGCGTCCATGCTGGGGTTCATCTGGTGGTCACTAGTTTCTCCATCCTCACTCAAATAACCCGGAGGAGGTGTCTCTAGAAGCATAAAATGATTATATCATCATTGCGACTGGATGCCAAGTCTAGATTTTAGACACCAAAACCATTTACTTTGTTATTCACAAGGAGCTAAATTTCTTTTTTTTTATTGCTTTTCTTCCTCAGGCTGCTGAGAGAAGGAGGTGGCACAACCAGCTGATAGGCATAGCGTATTTGTGAGTAACAGAGGAGGGGGAAACAAAAAAAATCCGGATTTTCAGTCCCATAAAACTTTAAGCCATGTGGACGCTTTTCTGTCCACATATTTTTCCTTTCCTGGTGTGCAGCTGCATAGCTCGTCCATGCAAATAAGGTGTAAATTGCTTGTAAAAGAGATACATAAATAGAAAAGCTCAATTCCATCAGAAACGTAGAGGCTTTTACTCAAATTAAAATGGCTGAATTTCATTCAAATCCAAACTTGTTAATGGAACATTCAGCTTTAGATTCCACAATAAACCGAGCCTGTATGACCGAAGGGAAGAGGCGAGTTTAAAGAAAAGAAAACACAACTATAACCAGCACTGTTGTGTGTCTACATTTACAGCTTTCACCTATTTTTGTACAGGTTCCCACTCCTTAACTTCGTAGTAATTATGGAAAGAAAGACTTTCCAGTCGTGGGGTTTGGAAGACGGAGACACAGAATCACAGAATCTTCTAGGTTGGAAGGGACCTTAAAGATCATCTTGTCCAACCGTCAACCTGACTGACAAAAATAGACACCCACACAACAAACAAGAAGCATCACCATCACTAAACCAGACCTCCCAGCACTACATCAACCCGGCTTTTGAACACCTCC